CTCAACATCCGCTCAAAGGCACAGCTACGTTTGCACCCTGCGCCGTTGACATGTGTGCAAAGACCGCAACACGAGCCGTCGTGCATGCGAGCACGAAAACGTGAATAACGCCAAGCCGGGCAAGAAGTTGAAGCGGTGCAGCACAATCGCCTGCAACTTCGCCATCATCTTTCAGCTCGCAGGCAGAACATCTCGACAAAACCTTCGAGATGCTACGATTTATCTTCACATGGCTGGCTCTGCCGACACGCTTTGGTGCTGCTTTGTCCTTGAGCATGAAATCTGGAGACCTTCTCACTCGGAAGGCTTTAGCACATCAACTGACTGCCCACGTGGGACTCACCTTCATCGCAAGGTCTTCATCGTACTGCTAGCTCAGGGAGCTGTTGCCCCTGCCTGTGCTTTTTCTTTTCAGGCATGTTGAAGATGAACAGACATGCACAGCAGTCGACTATTGCCTCGATCATGCAATCGGTCGTAGAATCCCGACTCCTTGTGACCCCGCCTGAGGCGCTCGAAACACACTGGGGCTGCCAGGTGAGCGCCTTGTGTTGGGACTTGAGAACTCCAGAACTCCAGAACTTGTCACAACCTCGCGGCTTTGCACGTACACGGAGTGGTTCGGCGCCTCTGTGGAGTTCCTGTTTTCAGAGCTCCTCTGCACGGGTCCGGTTCGCGTATCTGCCGCGAGGCTCTCTCGAGTGATGCCTTTGGAGGCTACTTCGAGGGTGCCGTGTGGCAGGACTCACACTTGTGGTGATAGCTGCCATGTCAACGACGTTTACCTTGCATCTGGCGGCGTGGTTCGTTAAGCCGAACTCCCTGGAAGGATCTTCGGCTCCTGCTGTCCTTCGTAATGGGCATCGCCTGTGCCGCCGGGCAGCAGACACACACATACAGGAGTGGCCGGTGCAAGAGCCATGTCACGGGCACCAGAGCTGTCCCACTTGCTTGTTTTCGATCTGGAAATGCGCGATGCCGACTCTTGGGCTTTACATCGGTGGGTTTGGCGCTCACTGTCCTTGTTACATGTCTTTTATGCTTCTGCGACTTGTGCAACACGAATGCAAACAGGTCCACACTGGCGAGGTGCTGATCAAAAACGGCGGCCCCAATGCTTCTTGGCTGGTCAGTATTGAACCCATCATCATCGTGCCTTTTTTCACCCGTGGCTTCTTAATCGTCACCATCATCATCATAAAGGGCGCAACCTCGTCATTCTCATTTCGCCATTATCCTCATAGCATGCTCGCACTTAGGAAAAACCTTCCTTACAACTTCACCTCTACTGATATGATTGTGGCTGCCGTGCTGTTTGTTTCCTCGTCTGTCTCGATTCAGTTTCTGCCGAGGTGATGCAAATGTTCCAGAGGAGAGCGGGGTTGTGACTTGGGGCCACAGTTGAAATCTGTCATGTGCGTCTGGTTCTTTGGACAGGAAACCCTTCGAGCTGTATCCCTTTGTGCTCTGAGCTGCAGGCCATAATACCGGCTTTCCATGGGCTGACGCCTTCATGCAAGTCCTGTATTGTGTGGCCAGTGCAATCGGGTGGTGTGGGGAGGCCGGGCTCACAGCAGCTTTGCAGCTTTGGTGCAGGCCGGGGAACGTCAACCCTTGTTCCCTGGGATGAGGCCGATTCTGAAGCACGGCGCTTGCAGTGTGTGTTTTGTTTCCGGGCTTGGAGAAATTCTGTTGCGTTGTGGCTCAGTCTTGCCACCAGATTCGACAAGTTTTAGTTTTTGTGCCCTCAGATTGGAAGCAGAAAACAGCTGTGCGCCGGGCTGCACGGGCTGGGACGTATTCTCACCCGAACTTCATGGCTCCTAGTCGCATTTAGGAACAGTCATATTGCAGTGGTACCATGGCAGTTTCGAGGAGCTTGACCACAGCGATTGTGGAGCGTTTTAAACTCTGTGGAAGGTCAAAGGCCTGACAGCCTTCGAGTCGAGGTTGTTCGACATTACGGGCCCTTCTCAGCACCCTCTCCTACATCACGACACTGTTACTGCCTTTGCTGAAAGCAACCATATTTGGACATCCGTACCCCCATTACTCGCCTACAGATCTAGCGAGATGATCGGCACCCCCCAAAAGGGACCACAATTCAGAACGACCTGCATTTGGCTTCGTCTGCAAAGCTCCGGCATTTGCCACCCCTCTGGGTCGGGCAGATATCCGGTTATGCAGAAGTTCACCGCGTACCCAACTGCATGCAGAGACGTTGTGCAACTGTGCCATTATTGCATGGTCTATCTCGCTTTGTGCTGCTTCGTTTGCAGGAGGGGTGCTGCACCAAAGCTTGTGCGCAGGCGCTACCGCTTCTGTAAGAGAAGCTTGGTAGCGACTCATCTTATGTGGGGAGCAAAAGGTGCGATTGTTTTGTGGCACATCGGTCATGGGGAGCATCATGTAACCGCGGTGCTTGGTCACGGTATCGCTTTGTTGCAGGCTCCACTTAACAGAACCCATGACTTCTAGGTTTTTTCTTGTTGACATCGGAATCCTTCCACGATCGAGCGGGATGCGTCCAGCTGCGAAGTCCCGAGTCTGTGCCCCTCATCGCCGCTATGATAGTGCACGCAGGCACTTGTGTCGCAGTTCACGTACCTTTTTATGAGCTTTTGCTGCTCAGCTCCATGCCATGCGTCAGCTCTGCGTTCGATGATCTGGAGGTCTGATTCCGAGTGGATGAAAGAGCTGGTAACATGAACATGGTGCAATGCAAGTCTGTTGTTTGTGGTGCTCGTAGCCTGAGACTTCTGAGAATCTTGTGGAGGCAGAGAGTGTGGTTGATCGCAACAAAACGCGTGTCAAGCTTGGGGTTGGAGCTGTTCTCTGCTATGTGAGATGCTTTCGAGGTACATGTAGCTGATACGTAATCGGTTGAGTTGGTGAGGGGGCGGGGGCAAAGGCTGTCCCCCATGCTCTGCACATGTACACATGTATGTCGTTCTACATATACATGTATATGCCATATATCTATATACATATATAAATATAAGTCTATTCGACACATGTGTACACGACATGACTATTTGCAAGAACGCATGATACCAGTGTCTATGCATATACAAAAACTGTTTCTGAACATAATTGCATATGTACGTCTACATGCGTGCATGCACACATGCATGGAGGCATGCGTATGTAGGTATTTATGTATGTAGGCATGTATGTATGTATGCATGCATGTATGTAAGTATGTATATATATATATTTATATGGGGTGCCCCTCCATGGATCCACCTTTTCTGGCTTCAGGTATCGACAACAGCGTTTCGCTGTTTGTCTTCCAGGGCCAAGGGTTAGGGTTTAGGGGTTCGAGGGTTAGGGTTTGGGGTTTGGGGAAGGATTGTTGAAAAACCTAACTGAAAAAACCTAAAATAAACCTAAAGACCGAGAGTCTTGTCACAGGCCTCCCAGGCAAAGACTTCTAGGACATTCTAGGATTTAGCTGTTTTCAGGTGTTTTAGTTTTTTTTTTTCAGCTAGGTTTTTTCCAGTTAGGTTTTTCGACAAAGCTTCCCCAAACACCAAACCCTAACCGTCGAACCCCCAAACCCTAACCCTCGGCCTGCCTGTTACTATATTTTTAGCATGTATACTAGTGTTAGTACTACTTCTTACTAGTATTTATATCAATCAAAATACTCCTACGAATAAACAGATTCATTTTGATATTACTGTTAATCACTGTTAATCTTAATACCAGTATTCAAAATAGTACTAATTCTTATACTCATGTTGATTTTAATATGAACAGTGATTCTCTCACGCATACTGAGACTCATAGTAATGTTAGTACCTTGAATACTAGTGTTCCTACGAATACTTATATTCATACTCACTAGTAGTCTTATACCAATACACATACTGATGCTAAAACTCATACCAATACCACCATTAATATAAATAGTGATATTCTTGCATATATTAATACTCATGTTTTGGTTAACTATTCTCAATACTTGTAACAATCTTGTTCTTCCAATACTAATATTAATAGTAACATTTTCACGAATACTAAGGCTAATGCGACAATCCCATTCATGTTAATCTTAATGTCAATGCTAGTAAAGATAAACACATATACTAATCATGACATACTACTTACATGAAATACCAACACAGGCGCACAACAAGGTATTAGAGAATCAGTATTTTCATATACCTGTGTACCAATATATCAGTATACTAACAACATCAATATACTAATACGCTAAAACATACTAATTAATATAGACTCATGTTGGTACGAATCCTAATACTCAAAGTCTTGTAAATAATATTAGTACTCATGCTACTATACATACTAATGCCAAGATCAATGCAAATACAAATATATATATATATATATATTTTTTACTCCTGCGAATACAAATACTCATGTTCTTAGTATGCTTAATACTGATATGACTATATGTATATATATATATTCAGTGTTCGTATTCGTATTAATATTTTTGTATGTATTTTAGTATTAATAATTCTTGCTAGTTTCTGTATGAAGATAGATAATATTCGCACCAATAAACGTATTCACATTCATATGGATGTTAATCTTAATACCAGTATCAAAGATATTTGTTTTTTGTATGAACACTGATACTCTCACAATATTTGTTTTTTGTATGAACACTGATACGCTCACAAATACTAATACTCATAGTAATGTTAGGCCTATGAATACCAGTGTTCCTACGAATACTCAGAATCATGTTCACGAGTAATCTTAATACCACTATACATACTGATGTGAATACTAATGCCACTACTGCTTTTCATACAAGTATTGATAGTATCACATATATGAATACGCATAGTTTTGTTAACTAGTCTCAGTACTTATGTCAATAGTAGCAGTTCTTTCAATACTAAATATTACTACTAACATTATAACGCGAATACTACGGCTATTACGATGATCCCATTCATATTAATATTAAGTTTATAAGACTTATACAAATGGAGACATATATCTATATATATATATGTATATATATATACTACTACTAGTTGCTTACAGGAATCTGCGCGTATGAGAACAAAACAAACTCGCAAATAGCACATTGTACACTCGTTTGACTCGCTTGCTGCATGTTTCGCATATGCTTCGTTTGCCTCGCATCCCAGTTTGCTGCATCGGCTGCCGCTGGCTCAACAACAACCGCAAACGGTGGATCCATTTGGGGGGGAGCATATATATATATATATGTATATATATATATGTATGTATGTATGTACGTATGTGTATGTATGTATATGCATGTATGGATATGCATGTATGGATGTGTATGTATGTATGTGTATGTATGTATGTATGTATGTATGTATGTATGTATGTATGTAAATAGCTGTGTCTGTATGTATCTATGCCATTTTGCAACTATGAAACACAGCAAGCAAGGCAAGGCAAGGCGAGGCAAGTAAAGGCAAGGCAAGGCAAGGTAATGCAACGCAAGGCAGCGCAAGGCAACGTAACGCAATGCGGGGCAATGGAGTGAGAGGCAACACAAAGCAGCGCAAAGCGAAGCAACGCATAGCAACACACAGCAACACATAGCAACGCACAGCAACACATAGCAACGCATAGCAACGTAAACGAAGCAAGGAGGCAGGAAGGCAGGAAGGAAGATTGCATGGCATGTACTTATGTATACATGCATGCATGGGTGTCTACATTTATGTATGCATGTATGTGTAGACAGCTGTGCATGTACGTAGACACATTTCTGAGACCGACAGCTCTGCTGACACAGTTGGATTCCGATGGGCTCAAGTCATTAGTCCCAGTGGCATGCGCGGGCAGCCCGCATTGGAGCCCCAGTCAGCCCGGAAGCCAATGCAATGGTCCTCCAAGTTCAGCAGCACAGTTTACTGCTACAAGACAGTGGTGCACATTGCAGATCATTATTACTGTACCGCATAAAGCAGTAGTAGCCATCGCCGGCTACCGTGCAGAAGGCCAGCCCGCGATGGTTTGGTTTTCGTTCAGCAATCGCAGCAGAACTCGAGTCGTCTTTTGGATCACGTCCTCGCAGGTTGAGATGCCGTGTTCGAGAGAGTCTTGTGTCACCGATGTCACCACTTCTAGAAGGCTGCATGCCCTGTTCACCGGTATAGCGCAAGACATCAAAGACAAACGTTGCTCCGCGAAGGCAGCTATGCCGCTGACTGCTTCGCTCTGTTCTCGGCATGCTTAGCTGCATGACCTGGTGTCAAAGCATGTCTTGAGCTCCATGAAGCGAGATTGTAAGTCGCGCAGCACACCCCCGGCACCCGGTAAGATCTTCGAAACCCTGCACCCCGAAGGCCAAAGCTTAAACCATCAGGCGCTGAAGCCTCAGACCTTAAATTCCCAAGATGTAATTTTTGTAGCGAACCATCCTAAGTTTTGAAACTCTGAACCCGAAGACCTGAATGAAGATCTTAAGCCCATAAACGCCATAAGGGCAGTCACTGCTTCCTCAGC